GTTGGCGACGGGGGGATTATCTCAAAAAAAATTTTCGGACATACCAAAAAAATTTTCCTGATATAACACATTCTTTCCTAAATAGGAAAAAAAATTTCCGGACATACCAAAAGATTTTTAGAATATATGATATTTTTTCCGGAAATGAAAAAAAAAATTCGAAAATAACATAGATTAAAATTTTCAAAAGTGTCCTTTGAGCAAAAAATGCAATCTTAATGACAATTTTTCACGCAAAAAAGGGCACTTTTCTCCCGGAAAAAGGGTACTTGGCAAAACTTGGGGGACTTGATCCCCCCCTGGCCCCCGATTCCTACGCCCTTGCTCGTAATATACTAATATATTTGCTTTCTGTCGCGAAGTGTCTATTGCTCCTTTTAGTAGGTTTAAAACCAATCAATATCGGTTTCATCCAGGCCCGGAGCTACAGGGGGGGGGGGGGGGCCCCCCCCCCCCCCAACTATTTTGAATTACCATATTCGGAATATCGGATTGGCTATTCGGAAAATTACGGCAATAACAGTGTAACAAAATTTTAATGATGTGATTTCTTGCACTTCACTTGGTGGAATTATTATTAGAATGTTAGGGTTTGTAATCCAAGTGATATACATTTTAAGATCTGACCAGGAACGACTGCGAAAAATGCAGCGCAAGGTCCTCTGGTAGGAATTGAACCTACGGCCCTGCGATTCCGGTGCAGCGCTCTAACCAACTGAGCTACGGAGGCCAGCTGTTGAGCTGTAACCGTAAGTTCATGTATATATAGGTAATCGGGTGTGCGGGTTGTGATAAGGTGGACTTGAATGATGTGGTTTCTTTGCACTTCACTTGGTGGAATTCACTTTGGTGGAAAAGTCCACCTTATCACAACCCGAACACCCGATTACCTATATATACATGAACTTACGGTTACAGCTCAACAGCTGGCCTCTGTAGCTCAATTGGTTAGAGCGCCGCACCGGAATCGCAGGGCTGTATGTTCAATTCCTACCAGAGGACCTTGTGCTGCATTTTTCGCAGTCGTTCCTGGTCAGCGCTTAAAATGTATATAATCACTTGGATTACAAACCCTAACATTCTAATAACAAAATTTTAGTTGTTAAACAGAGAAAATATAATATAATTGTATTGTCAGTATCAACTGATTTACGAAATCATAGCATTTACCCATGGATAACATTTAACAAATCGTAAATCGGTTTATTTTTTTTAACAAATCATAAAAATGTTTTTCGGTTTTTACTTCTCAGGGCCGTAGCAACCTGGGGGGGTGGGGGGTGCAGCTCTCCGAATAATTTGCTAATAATCATCAAAAATCATGCAGCCCTTTATCATTTAAATGGTATACCTTTAAAATACTGAAGATTGATTAATTTTAAGCAGCTACATTATCCATGACAAACTGCAAAGAATCATATTACCTATACTTTCCTGCAATTTCTCCAATATATAGTTAATCAAATACGCCTTCGCCCACTCATAGTACTACTAAATTGAAACCAAAATACAAATTTCGGCATACTAGAGCGCTGTTAATTTTCTGACCATCAGAGTTCTGTCAAAACTTCTCCAAAGTCCAGAAAATGGCATCTCAGGGACTCTAAATTTAATATATAAAAAAGAGCTCCCTACGCCGCACTACATGCTTCTGTAATATGTCTGTGCGTAAAATATACGTATTTTTGTTTGTAAATTGCGTGTTAATTTTCCGGATAGAAAACACCTTTGTGGCTTTGCATGCCTTGAAATATTCGAAAATTTTTTTCGTTATTCGGAAATTTTTGGCCACTCCCCCCCCCCCCAACTATAGATGCTAGCTACGGCGCTGGTCTTCGTTTTCTAAGTTAGCAAAGTGTTGCCTCTTTTTCAAAATGAAATATTGTTTTGTATTTTGTCTTTTAAACTCCCGCGCAATCCACGCAACCCGCGTTAAAATTCCCCGTGTTTCTAACGAGTTATAGAAACGCGGGTTTTTTAGCTTTTGACCAATCAGCGCCCTTGTTTTTAAAATGCTATTTTATAATGTTATATATAGTTATATGTGTACTACATAAAACATGAGCGTGCAACCGATCTGTATCTGACATACAAACTCGAGCCGAATCGTACTTAATTAAAAAATGACCAATCTTATGAGTTCATTGGCGAAGTGATTTTGAAAATAAACATTATCTAGCCCGAGAAAATCAATGCTGAAGTTTATGTAAATCAGGACAAATCTTTATCAGATTTACAAACATTGATTAAACATTCATTTCTTTTGTATTTTCCTCGTTTATTATTAATGAATTTTTTTAAAGTTATATATATAGTTATATATATAGTTATATATAGTTATACATAGTTATATATAGTTATATTTAGTTATATATTTTATTTTGACAAATACATGATCATTAACTCCCAGCAGAAATGCAATGATCTTTTGTTTTAATTTTATTAATGCACCACTAGTTTTATTTTATTCAAATTAACATGCGTATTTAAGACGTTATTTACTTTTGTTTTCATTTAGGCTTTACTCAATGCATTTTTTAATACCATGGACTGGTGGGGCATTTTCCCCCACTGCATGGGCCCTAGCTTACTCTACCCCACCACTGATGAAAAAAATGGCCAATTGCGCCAAAGCTAGGGCCCTAGGACCTGTAGTGTTTTAAGTAAATGAGTTTCACATTGAAAAGAAGTTTAAAAAACAAAATTTGTTGGTGAGCATACTTAAACTTATGTTGTGTGTTTGAATTTTTGAAAAACCGATACTAGCCGCCAATTTCAAAAAATATAGCACAAAACATAATCCGAAGGCCTTTGAATGACCTTTCTACAAATACCACCTTGTTAGAAGACATCACGTTAACACCAGATCATGTTGCTGCAGTCTTAAGAACTCTTGACAAAGATAAAGCACACGGACCAGATGGCATCCCCGCTCGTCTACTTACAGAAACAGCGTCAGTAATAGCACCATCGCTTTGTGATCTGTTCAACAAGTCACTGCGCACTGGAGTAGTACCGCGATAATGGAAACTGGCCAATGTTGTTCCTGTTTTTAAGAAGGGAGATAAGGAATATGTTGAAAATTATAGACCAATATCTCTGCTGTCTTTAATATCTAAAGTATTGGAACGCTGTTTGTTCGAATGCATCAAAGATCGCGTGTTTAGCCAGATTAATCCTTGTCAACATGGCTTCATCCCAGGAAGAAATTGCGTCACTCAGTTAATCGAAGTGTTCGACACGATTGGTAACTTGTTGGATCATGGAAACAAATCGATGTCTTATACCTGGACATGTCGAAAGCCTTCGATAAGGTGAGCCACACACGTCTTCTCCTTCGTCTTCGTGATTTCGGATTTAGTGGTAACATCCTCAAATGGTTCCAATCATACTTACAAGATCGTAGACAACAAACGACAATCCTTGGAGCAACATCATCTCCTTCACCAAGTTTTCCAAAATCTTTGTGTTGATCGATCGATCGTCGTGTTGTACAATTTGGGCAACGACCTTAGGGAGTGGTCATTATTTATGGGGAGGGGGGAGGGGTTGGGAAATGGGAGGGAGGGGCAAACGAAGTTTTATCCTTATAAATAGGGGGGTCGAAAACGTTTTAACACAGAGAAAGGGGGTCATAAAAGTTTTTGAACTTAAATACCATGTCTAGAGTTCTGATTTCTATAATCACAAATAGTAAAAAAGAAGACTTTGAAAATGCTATTTCCAACGATTTTCAAAATTTCCCTGCTTGGTGCCAACCATGGTAGCGCCTCGCGACCGTGGGAGTGGACCCACTAAGTTTAACAAGCTTTCTACCCCCTGAGTGACTCAGTTGTGGTATTTACATAAACATACCATGCAAGTACACTTAAGATAGAATACCCTCAACCCCCCCCCCTACTAGTACATACGATATTACACCAAACTTGTTGTCACCAACAACCATCTGTTATCTCTCCACACTCAATATAATATGGTCCCTTTTTGTAGATGCCTATCCCCCAGGCAAGTTCTTAAAAAAACCCTGTTTTCAAATCATTTCGCTGTATGAAGACGGGTCATGGGTTAGGGTAATGGTAGGACAAATGTTGCATTACAAAGTAGTAACACATAATATATATTTTAAAATCATATATGGTTGAATCATATTCACCAGGGTAAAACATCATGAGCTAGATTAAACAGATTGTCCTAATATCTAACTTTACCTGCAACGCACACCTGTTTCATTGCTGTTAATTTTTCAATCCACACTGGGGTGGGGGTCAGAAAACGTTTATGAGGGGAAAGGCACAAAAAGTTTTCAGTCTGGAGGGGGATCAAAAAAGTTTTCAATCTTTATTTTCCCCATTTCCCAACCCCCCTCCCAATAAATAATGACCACTCCCTTGGTACATATCAATGGCATTGACAGAATTTGTGCCGGCGTATTTTCTGACAAAGCGGGTTTTTTCGCGATTTCGTGGTAAAATTTCTGACATAAAATAACGACGACATATTTACATATTTTGCCGTTTTGTGTGGGAAAACATGGCCATATTGGCGATAAAATGACTTGACTTGCCACTCGGAATGACTTGTGACTTGACTTGACTTGGATTTAGACAAAATGACTTGTGACTTGACTTGAACTCAGACCAAATGACTTGTGATTTGACTTGGACTTGCAGGAAATGACTTGTGACTTGACTTGGACTTGCAACATAGGACTCGTTAACAACTCTGCCATGCCGTGACAACACGAGCCTGCGTTCAGTGTTGGCATATTTAAGAATACTTCATGTTGAAACAATGTTTGGAAAATATAGGCGAGGGTTCGTTGCATGGATGTATTTCTAGTGTTTCGATTTTATTACAAAATCATCATTAGACTAACTATAGTTACATTATATACATGGTCTTATATACAAGTTGGCAAGGCCTTACCATGTATCCTCCCTGCGTTAACAGATATTGTTAATTGTTCATTGCTTACGTCCGAATATCCAACATTATGGAAGATGGCAGAAGTTGTTCTCCTCTTAAAAGATGGGGATCATGAGATCGCAGACAATAATCGTCCTGTGTCTTTGCTAATTGCAGTATCAAAGATTTGTGAACGAGTTGTATTGAATCAATTGACTGACTATATGTCGCAAAGAAAAAGATATACTGAACACCAAAGTGGCAATCGGAAATTATATTCTACAGAAACATTAAACATTTTTATAACAGATCAAATCTTGCAGTCTATGGATCGTAAAGAAGTTACGGCCTTAGTTTTAATAGACTTATCCAAAGCATTTGATAGCATAGATCATTCAATTCTATTAGTGAAACTTCAAACCATTGGTGTGTCTAATTCAGTGTTCGCATGGTTTAAAAGTTATCTATCGGGACGAAGCCAAATAGTACGTATTGGGTCGACATTGTCGGAAACATGTATTATAACTCGAGGGGTACCTCAAGGATCTATTCTTGGGCCGGCATTATTTAACATATATATTAATGACCTGCCCAATGTTCCAAAAAAGTCGTCTTTGGAATCTTATGTGGATGATTCGAAAATCTATCTGGCATTTCCAATTCAGGATATTGAAACTGCTGCGTTTAAACTTACACAAGATATGGAAAGAATTACCGCATGGTGCTGTATAAATAGTCTGCTAGTGAATCCAAAGAAAACGAAACTTCTATTACTGGGTACAAGTCAAATGCAGAAAAAACTCTCTGGAGCACCCCCAGACACTCCCACAAGACACCCCCAAA